GAGATCACTGAAGCTCTGCGACTGCAGATGGAAGTTCAGAAGCGACTGCATGAACAGCTTGAGGTATGAATTTGTTCATTGGAAAAGGATTTTTCTTTCTAATTGGTCAACTGGTTGAGTTGTCCTCATAAAATATATTCTGAAGGTTTTGTTTAACTTTACCTGTTACTGCTGCGCAAGTTGGTGACGTAAACATTTTATAGCCCTGTTGCACTTTTTTGGCATTGGTCAAATCTCGAGCCTTGAATTTGTGTGTTCTTAAATTGTTGTGTACATTTCCCGGTTCTATTCATCTGTTTTTACTTTTGTTGGTTTAATCCTCCGGGGTTTCTGTTTTGCCAATTTTATGTGGTAACTTTCCTCTTTGTGCAGATTCAAAGAAATCTGCAGTTACGAATAGAAGAACAAGGGAAGTATCTTCAAATGATGTTTGAGAAGCAATGCAAGTCAGGCATCGACACGCTGAACCCATCATCATCCAATTTGGACGACCCCTCCGCTCAGCCTTCAGATGCAACGCAAGTTTGTCTCGACAAAAGTGAACCGGAGTCTTCCAAGTTGGGCCAAGGCGAGACTCAAACTGATCCAGTTAAAGCCAACTCCACATCATCAGGTGGTTCACAGGAACCGGAAGGGAAGCAGAAGGCACCTGAAACGGAAACTGTTCCCCAGAATCCCGAGCCAGATGTCGGTGAGGCCAGTTCCCAACCTCCAAGGCGTGCCAAAATCAAAGAATAGGTCATAAATCATCTGTTATAGGTGGTCTAAAATTTTAAGATAGGCATGTTTGCCTTTTGAAAGATCTTCCGTGATTTTAAGGTGAGCAGTGAATAAATATTGCTAATGCAGTTTTTTTTCCGTGCAATTGATAATTTATAGCTAATTATTAGCCAAGTTTGATCCAAATGCAACTTTAAAATTTTCTGTTAAAATATTTTTTATTCGGACGCAAGTGGCTCTTTCCTGTGCAAAGGGGTTGAGCTAAAAAATTTGGATTTAAACCCTTGTGTTGAAGTCTGTTAGGATTTTAGTCTAAAATTAAGATTTCCGTTAGTTTCTCTATTAAGATTATTATTATTATTTTTTATTTTATTATTATTTTATTATTTTTATTTTTCAGAAGAGAAATATTCACAGATATGCAGCAAGCTCTTTTGGCCAAGGGATCCGACTTTAAATGTTCTTTGCTTCATTACTTTTACAAGCTTGATTACTATTGTAATAAATTCAAGGGTAAAAGACTGTTAACTACCCTCATGTTTCGTGGTTTTCAACATTTAGTACATCAAGTTTTTTTCGTCCTAGAGTCATACCTATAAAGTGTAAATTTTGGGATAGTCTCATACATCCATTAGTCAAACTGTTAAGTCTCCCGTTAACTGTGGCGCCACGTTAACTGTGACGTGGTGCCCATGTGGACAATGACTGTGCGTCATGTGTCACCCACGTGGAAATTAAAAATAAATTATTTATAAAATAAATAAATAAATAAAATAAAAAATAATATATATATATTTATATTTATAATAAAAAAAACTTTCATCTTCCCCAGATTCGGAAGAAGAAGAAGAAGAAGAAGAATGGGAAGGAAGAAGGAGGAAGAAGAAGAATGGGAAGGAAGAAGGAGGAAGAAGAAAAAAAACCGAAGAGGAAGGAGGAAGAAGGAAAAAAAAAACCGAATTTGCAACCCAGATTCGGAGGAAGAAGGAGGATAAGGAAGAAGTACAACTTTAGGTATGACTCTGGGACGAAAAGAACTTGATGTACTAAATGTTGAAAACGACGAAACATGAGGGTAGTAAACAATCTTTTACCCTAAATTCAATGAGAATCAGAAACTTCACATCCTTCAAGCAGTCAATCTTTTGTGAGAAGTACAACTCAGGTGCACGGGGTTCAAATCGAACATTTAATTGTAGCAATGGTTCCTCAATTAAAAATTCATAACCATTGGTCCCTTAGCTCATCAAAATGTGCAGCTATGATTGTTTATACCATACTTAGGGCATCAGTATTTAGATCTCGTACAAATACTGGAGAGACTTAAATGTAATTATGTAATAAATGAATGAGCAAATATGTAATAAGTGAGAAGTCCTTATTCTATAAAATGACTCATCACCCTCACAATTAGGGGAGGCCAATTCCTAGGCCATGAAAGGGCTCTCTCACCCTCAGAAGCTCTCTCCATCTCTCTCCCTCACCTCTCAGATAAATACAATATCAGTGTGGACGTAGCCCAAACATTGGGGTGAACCACGATACATCTTGTGTTATTTACATTTCTTACAGATTCACGGTCGGATTTACGTTGTTCCAAGACCTCCGGTTTTGTGCATCAACAATGGTCATTTTCGTCAAATTCGTTAAAAAATCTGTCAAATGAGTCATGTGCAATGTATGTGAAGCTGAATCAAGGGGTAAATATGTGAAACTAAATGAGAAAATTGTAGAAAATGGTCCCCCAACTTTAACTCGATTGTAGCAATGATTCTTTTAAAATTACTCGTTTTGATGAAAATTCTGACAAGTTGACGAAAAAGACCATAACTGCACGTTTTGTGGAGTTAAGAGACCAATGATCATGAATTTTTAATTGAGAGATCATTACTCTAATATGGTTAAATTGATGGAATATTTCTACAATTTCATCATAATAATTATTGTAGGTGCTCATTTTTGAAGAAGAAAACCCCGTGACTCAACTGCTTTTGTACTCGACTGTTATTTCACTACAAGGAGGTTTTCTTTGATATTTTAAGTGTTTTTCACTAACAAGGTTAAAAGTGCCACCATAGTTTGCATACAAACATAAAAACCTAGAGTAATATGATTGAGAAAAGGCTAACTATACATCTCACTCTTCAAGTTTGAGGTGATTTTTAAAATAAGCGATCAAGTTTCATTCTTTTTCATTTTGCGCCTTATGGTATTGAAATTGTATCTATTTATGGTTAAATTAATTATTTAATCTTCCATTAAATTGATGATATGATGAGCGTGAAATCCTTATATGAGATAGCATGTAAGCCAACAATTTAAAAAAGGATTAGACGTTCAAAGAACCTCATGACCCATTTTGAAAAGGGAAAATTAGAATGCCCTACATCTTTTCTATAGTTGTTAGATTAAACATGCATCCCTTTTAAAGATTTGATTAAGGTGCTTTGATCAATTGCCACCTCAATAATTTTCTATTTATTTAATTTCCATATCATTAATTTTCCTTAATTTAAATGCATTTATATAGAGGCATAAGGTAGCTTAGCAACTAATTGCCTATAATATAGGAATTTAATTTCGTCAATCCTCTTCTACACATTAAATGATATTTTTTTAATAAAATAAAATAAAAAATTAATTAACTAATTCCTCATTTCCTTATTATCAGTATTTAAAAAAAATATATCTTTCTATTAAAAATGTCTCAATAAAAATCTTCAATACATATTTTTTTCACGTATAGATATATAAAAAATATACTTAAAACTTATGGTACATTTGAAAACAAAAGTATCAACCGTTGGTATGTTTAGATTTCAAATGTACCGAGAAACCAAATGTACCATAAAACCAAATGTACCCATTATTATGTAACTCTTTTGGTACATTTAGATTTCAAATATATAGAGAAATCAAATGTACCAAAATTTCAAATGTACCATAAATCCAAATGTGCCCATTGTCAAGTAACCCTTTTGGTACGTTTAGATTCTAAATGTACCAAAAGACCAAATGAACAAAAACCCCAAATGTACCACAAAATCAAATGTCTCTATTAGATAACCCTTTTGGTACATTTACATTCCAAATGTACCGAGAAATACAAAAAATCAAATCCACTATAAAACTAAATGTGTCCATATTATAGGTAACTAGACGTAGCTATATAATCAAACAAATATTTATTATGTGTTGGATCTTCTAAATAATAAAATCTAACAATTTTTTTTTGTAAATATTGTACTATATTCACACAAAAAAGTAAAAATTATAACAAACAATAAAAAAATGCATAGAGATGGATAATAAATGCATAAATATAGGGATAATAGGAAAAGAAAAAAAATGAAATGCCCAGGAGAAGTTGTGAAAAACTAAAATTCTAAACAAAATTGAACTTATGTGAAAAAGCTGAAATTAATAACCAAAATTTTAGGAAAATGTTTAATCAAATTTTCAAAAGGAATGTATGTTTAGTCTAAAAAATTAAAAAACGAGGCGCCTATATCAAAACGCCCCTTTTGAAAATCACCTCAAATTTGGAGTGTAAATTGTAGTCATTCCCATTCTAAACTATTCTAATCTATGAGAATAAAAATTCGGACTTGGTGATGCGAAGAGGTGGGGTGGGTGCATGTGTAATTTGTTGTTTATATTTCAATTTTTTTTGAGTTGAAGCATTTTCCAAACGAAGAAAAAAGCAAAAACCAAACACTTTCTCCTAAAAAACACACTAGACTCAAACGTACGACTTCATAACTCACAGTAGGTACTAGGTACACAACTCTCTCATACTTTCTGTTTACACCCCAACATTTCATTATAATACCCCCTCCTTCCCTCCTCTCCCTCTCACCATCTCTGGCACCCCAAACACCTCCACTGTCATGGCCTCGAACACCATGGCCACCTGCTTGTTCACCAGTTCTCACACCCGAGTTGTGCATGGCACTCAAGAGGTATGCATAATGTATAGGTTTTTATATCCTTTTTCTTATACCACAACTTTCGTCCATGAAAATTGAACTCACTCTCGAGACTGCCACTAAGATGATATGGTCGGTCATTATCAATGTATATAGCTTAATTAAAATGTTGATGACTTGTTACAATTAGTATTAAGCAGTTAAGAAATCAATGTGGAAACTGGTATGCAGTACCCGCCTCGAGAAGGCAGTCAGTGTTATCAACAGAAATGTCTAGGGTAAGAGAATAGATAGAGTTTCATATTTCAAAGAGGTAACAAAATAATATACGGTTTATATAATATCACCGAAACCTTTTGTGATACAACTCCAAATCTAGTAAGAGGTGGTTAATTTGGGAATAATATTGATAATATGAGGCCATGGGGATCCTAAACGGCAATGGAGATATTGGTGAGTTTGTTTTTGTAGGAAAATGGAGACAATAAATGGCAATGGCATCACAACGATCAAGCTTTCTGTGTTGGAGGAAGTGGTAAGGATCTCTAATTCAGTTCATTTTATATTATTACAGGGAAAGGAACTCCTTTTTTTTTTTTTTTTTTTTTTTTTTCGGATTTACATGTACTAATTTATTTCTCCTTGTTTCTATAGTTGGAGGTAAGGATTTCTAAGGCGATAAAGAAGTTTTGAGTAATGCAGGATGGAAAGACAAGCAAGAAAAGAAGGGTTTGGTGAGCAAAGGTGGAGGAAATGATGATCAAGGCTTGAAAGATGATTTGTTGTAAGTTGGTTTTGTGCTTGATCTGTTTTCTTTTTTCCTTCTCAACTGATGTAGCAGTGGCAATTTTATTCGAATCTGGACTTTTTGCAGTTTGGTCGAATCCCAGGAACCACTGTGGCGAAATGTACCTATCTCATCAAGCAAACTCATCCCTTACCGCTTAGTCATTCTCCCCCGGCTTGTATTTCTAGCCTTCTTCTTTCGATTTGGAATCCTAACTGCGGCGTATAATGCTTATCCCTTGTGGCTCACAGTTGGAAATTTGAGTACTTTGAGTAGAAATTTCCTTGTCTCATTGGCCATTCCTAAAAGATTTTATCACTTTATAAGGTTTTATCCTTTAAAGAAAGTGATTGGAATAATAGACCTGGAGACTAAAATTGGACTCACCCTTGGGATTGGGCTTTGAGGTGTAATAATTAATTATTTTTCGGATTTACTTAATTATTTTTTAATTAAATTCGAATTTAATTAATTAATTATTTTTTATGAAAAGACTCATCCTTTCAGATGAAGTCTGAGAGTTCTTTCTGAACACAGAGCAAAACACCCTTCTGAAGAGATGTTTCCCAACAGTCACACCCCATTCTCATACCTGTTGCAAACAGGCATCTATCTGCTATATATACATACATCTGCATAGCATTTAGAACACAGGAATAATAAACTTCATCTTCTACATTCATAAACCTTCTTACTGAGAGAACCACACTAAATTCGCCAGAAGTTAAATTTTCCGGTGCTGGAATTTTAACTTGATCGTTGAATCCTGGTGAAGCAGACGTCCGTAGAACTACAAGCACAGAGCAGGGACGAAATTTCTGTTTCAAGGACATTGCGGTACGCAAGTCTCGATCTTCAAGT